ATTAATTAATAAAAAGAATAATCAAATTTTAGTATTTCCAGAATTTTACGTAGAATTTAAAAAAGCAATAATATTTATATGGTTCCATTTAAAAACCCAAAGTTGATATCACTTCCGGTTTAACAGGAAGTGATAAGGCATTGAAAATAATTTTTTAAAAATAGTTTACATTGCCTTAGAATTGCTATACAAATTTCCGTTCTCTATAAACTTCTAATAATAATGTATATAGAGCCTTTTGTATTAAAATAAAAAATAAAAAAGTAAGTTGGTACCTATTGCTTCTTATTTTATTTATTTTTATTTTATTTATGTATTTATTTAAGTCCAACAGGCACGGCATTAAGTATAAAAGCCCCCACCCCTTCCAATAAAACAGATTTTGACACCCCGTAATAAATTCGCAATAAATGTAGTGATGTTTGATTTTATTTCTTTTATTATAGAAACATGTGCAAAAAAACTGTTTTAACGATTTAAATATTTCTCACGTAGTCGAAACGGTGAGCAGATGTGAGTTTATATAGCGAATATTGCCTTGTAAGAGGGTTACAACTGTAAAATTTCCGATTTATATGTACCTACTAGGGAATGTTCAGTGCAGAATAAAATATATTAAACGCCATATACTTTGCAAGTTTTAATTTTGCCTAAACCAGTTTTTGATTCCCCCTGCATAACCAAATATTTACGACAAACTTTTTACAATTTGCACTGTAAACCACCACTCAAAAAATGCGAACACACACCGGGAATTAATTCAAGCAGCCCGAATAACCGGCATTTGTTCTGTCGGTGGAAGGGGGGGTAGCGTGGCCGACTGCGATCGTAAAGCGAAAAGTGTCCAAAAAGTGAATACTTGTCGCGCGTATGAAAAAGGTGAATAAATAACTAGCGGCAGTGTCGTTTGTCAAGTGCAGAATCATGGTCGTTTAAACAAGGTAGTGACACGTGTAAAATATGCACGGGCACACGTTTGATAAATGCCTGAGTTATGTGTGTGGGATATCATGGACAGCATGGCGTCAGGACAGGATCTAACAAACATTGAGCCCATACCCATATAGCACACAAAGTCTTGAAGATGTCTTTTCTATGTCTGTATTATGCCTGAACGTCTGAAGATCTAAAAAAGACGTCTGATAGACATCTTTTGATAGACGTCTTAAAGATATTAATGTTCTAAAGACATCTTATAAATGCCTGATACCTCCGTTTTTTTTTTTATTTTTAAGTCACGCCATATGATCCTTATACTGTTCTTTTCTATTTCACAATGCATAACCAAGACGTTTTAAATTGGTAGTCTTTAACATCCTAAAGACGTCTTAACGATGTTTAGCAACGACTTAATAATGACGTTAAAACGACATCTTAAAGACGATGTGTTTTGTAACATTAGATATCTTAAAGACGTCTTAAAGATGACTTACGTCGTAAACTGGGCGTCTTAAAGATGTCATAAACATCCGAGTCCGAGATCTTTAAGATGTCTCTGTGCTATCTGGTTAATGTTTCTGATATAATCCATTATTAACAGTATTCTGCTTCTTCCAATAAAAATCATAGAGCTAATTAGATCAACGATTTACAATATGTTTCTTAAGGATCTGATTGGTATAGAGTAATTTCTGATTGTTGTTTTTTCTTCGATCCACCTGAAGCCGGTCCTGCATTAGCATGGCCTCCCCATCTCCAACATTAAAATATTACTCATCAAAATCACATCGCTGAATTGTTTAGATAACGCGGTTATTTTACTGCCCGTCATTGGATTTATCAAATTAGATTTCGTTGGTTGTCCTGTGATAGAATTCTTTTGCGAATGTTCAGTTTTTTAAACATCAGATTAATTGTGGAGCAATATCAAAAGCTACGACACGTCCATTTATAATATTTTTGACATAGATACATTTTTAAACAATATATGTTTTTTTGTGAATTCAAAACAAAATTCAATTTCTTAAAAAATAGTTCAGCAATCAATTTTTGTCTATGCTGTCTATTTTTGTTAAATCAGAAGTAGTTTTTACCAAATTTAAAAAGTAGATGGCATAAATAAAATCTTCCCAAGAAGGAAGAACAGCAATAAAATAGTAGATTGTATTTGAAAAATAATTTTGGATTTACTGTACTTATTTTGTGATAAATTCGAAGAAAAAAATTATTGATATTATTATTGATTTAATATTTTATTTATGGGTGATTCTACAGAAGTTGGACAACTTTTGACCTCATTTTGTTTATATAGTTTTTGGAGAAAAATAAACAGTATTTTGTTATGAGAACATACATAATATAATAAATATACTGTTCCAGACCGGGCCATGCACTTTTTCAAACAGTTTCTGAAATATCTGTGTTTTCTAAATTTGAATGCAAGGGAAGTGACGAGTATACCAGGTTACTAATTAATTACATAATTTATTGGAAAATATAACATTTATTGCAACTTTGAGCATATTATACATTAAATATCTTAAAATCAAATAATACCACACATCAGTGGCGGCTGGTGGATTTTGGGTATAGCGATATCTCAATTATTAGATATGGGACTTACACCAAATTTATATGAGTTTATAATGACATTAAATAAACAAGTTCTGCGAAAGCAGAATTTAAATTTGCGAAAAAAAGATAACGGAAACATCGAACATGGAACTGACGACACAGTACTGATGAATTGGATACAAATTTGAGATTATAATTCGGAATTAAGTATTTTACTGATATAAATTCTTTTCAAAGCGAAGATTATTATCCGTTAGGAATACTTTGTCTCTCCTGGGCCGTAGTCACCTATATTTAACTACTTTTTTATATGATTTTGCTCATCTACGCACCACCAAAGACAAATCAATTAAACTTTTAAGTTAAAAGTTTTAACTACGAATTTTGACAACTCAACTTGACTCAACTTGACATCCGTTCAATGTAACCTACAATAATTTAAACATACATTATTACATTTCTGTGGGTAAAAGGCATAAGGTGGTATGTGGTCTAAATGATCAATTTTTCAGTAGAGCCTTAAACGTATTCGCATTAATTCAGGAAATATATTTATGGTTAGCGAGTATACCCTTTTGTATGTGCTAACAAAAGCGTATACCCGCTAAACATAAATATTTCCTGAATTAATGCGAACACGTTAAAGGCTCTATTAAAAAATTGCTTTTTTTTGACTTATCCCCTTATGCCTTTTACCCACAGATTTATAACCAAAGATAATAATATAATAATAATAATAATAATGATAATGTATTATCTTTCTTTATAATTAATTTAGTTTGTTTTAATCAATGCAACCAATTTTGGTTCCCTATTTACCAACCAAACCCCTACATTTGCAAAGTTGCCGCAGTCCATATAAAAAAAACTTGTATGACATTGTACGACATATTAGAAGCAGTGTTGTCAGAGCATTTGGTGCTCTGGTAGTACATAGGTACTAGAAAGACTATTTTGGTACATTTTCATAAAAAAATTTATTTTTGATACATTTTTAATATTTTGCCTATTTTGAATAAATGTTTTGCTTTGTTTCTCTTAATTTGTGGTAATTTCCTAGTATTTCGCTTCGCCTATCTTTATTCGTTTATCTTTATTCGTTTTATTTTTATATTCGTCTGTTGGCAACACCGTTTGAAAGATGGTGTGTTTTTAGAATGATAGATATTTAAAACTTAGATGATACATGATTATTTTTTTCATTATATAGACCACAATCCATACAACAAGGTCTGTTTGATCTCGTACTAAAAATACTAAAAATCACTGCAACACTGCACATCCTTCAATGGCGGCCATTTTTGTTGTTTACAATTCTTGTGCTTTGGGTTTGTACAGATTAATAATCGTTTTAAACGTTGTGTTTCTCACAGAGAGACTTGCAAGCCTTAAAAGAGACCTCAAATTGGTAAGAACAATCATTTTACTCCTCTTTTGTAAAAAATAAACCCTATTCTATCAGGGCTGTCAAATGTCAATTTGAAGGTTAATTTGTGGGTTATAAAATACGAAGTGGCTATTTATACGTCCGACGTATACAAAATTTGGTATACGTCTTGAGCTTTCATTGTTGAGTTTGGGTTGGTTTCGCTCACTGTCAATCAACTTAAATGGGCAAAAGTGAGCGAAACCAACCCAAACTCAACAACCCAACCCAACCGACCCCGCCCCATTGGGCCCCCCGCCCCATAGAGGAATAGAGGCCTATTTTGTAGGAAGAAGTTTTTGCCTCATATTTAGCCATTTTTATACTTATTTATCAAATACTTAATTTTGCTTACATAATTTTTGTAAATTACTTAATTTTTATATATTTTTAACGTTATTATTATAAAATTCAGCAGTTTGAATATCTGACAATTTTCATTTTGAAGTTTATAGGTTAGATTAACTTTTTCAAACTAGCAAATGAAAGCACAAGACGTATACCAAATGTTGTATACGTCGGACGTATAAATAGCCAGTTTGTATAAAATAACCTTTAATTAAACTTTAAATTGACATTTGACAGCCCTGAAAGAATAAGGTTTATTTTTTACAAAAGAGGAGTAAAATGATTGTTCTTACCACTTTGAGTTCTCTTTTAAGGCTTGCAAGTCTCTCTGTAAGAAACACAACGTTTAAAACGATTAATAATCTTTACAAACCCAAAGCACAAGAATTGTAAACAACAAAAATGGCCGCCATTGAATGATGTGCAGTGATTTTTAGTATTTTTAGTACGAGATCGAACAGACCTTGTTGTATGGATTGTGATATGGACGACATTGATCTAGACGTTATGAGGTTCCAGCATGGCCGTACTGCCCAATAAACCACCTTGGCCACCAAGATCTTTATATCTGACGCCACTCGATTACTTCTTCTTGGGATATCCACGTTATTTGGTGTAGTAGTTGGAAATTGGACCTCTAGAATGCACTTCGCTAAAAACAACCTTCATAAAAATATAACATCTATCAATGTCATATAAAGCTAAAGGAAAAATGTCATTTATCATTATAATTTTAATGAAAGTGATAGATACAGAAAAAAAACATAACATAAATTCCAGAGCACTGGAAACAGTGGATAACCTAGAAGAAGGCGTATTCCCGTATCAAGCAACGATTTTTAAGAATGGCAAATTTATGTGTGGTGGGGCTATTATATCTAAAAACTACATTTTGACAGCGGGCCAATGCTTCGACGGTTCGCGCGACTCAAAATTATATACAGCTGGTGTTGGATTGGGAGGTACCATTTATTTGGATGACGTGAACCATATCGGTATCGATAGTATTTTGGTGCACGAAGATTACGAAAAGGAATCAAAGACCAGGGATATAGCGTTGGTGAAGCTCGCGAAGGATTTAACGTTTGATAATACAGTAGGTAAAGTCAAATTACCGGATGACCCTTCCTTCAGCACCAAGTGCAAAGTGGCAGGTTTCGGAGCGAACAGAACAGGTAAAATAAACTTAATGTATGCCTATGCCACCAAACAGACAGACAAAAACTGCGCATCTTTGTATGGCATGATCATAGACGGCCAGATGTGCGTGCAGGGCTGCGCAGGCGACACAGGTAGCGGATTGGTATGCAATCATATAATCGATGGGGTTGTTTCGGTGGGCGTAAACAATGGAGAATGCGATAAAATGCCAGCCGTGTATACCGAGGTTTACTACTTCAGAATCTGGATCGATTTGAAAATGGAAATTGGGGGATCTAGCTTCGTCAATCCAGAGTCTTTTTTAGTTTATTTGATGACTTTTGTTATTTGCTTTACTTAATAAGCTTTATATTACAAATATATGATTTAATATTACAAATATATTTTTAATATGATGAGTTATAACTGTGTAAGTTAGGGTGGTTCTTATTTGACCGATGTCGAAATTTTAATCCTGCCGCCCCCTTATTTGTTGTTAAAAAATATAAAAAAATGTATGCCAAATTTGAATGTCCTAGGATAGATAGAGGATTTATGCCTTTAATGTATTAATTTTTTAAAATTACTATTAATCTATGAAAAAGTATAATTTTTTGAGAAAATGTAGAGGAGATAAGTTACTTTTAAACAAAAAAAAGAAATCATGTATTTTCATCCTATAGGGTCTTTTTTACTTCGCTCGATTATTACTTACAGTTTTTCATATAGGGGATTTTTGCTTTAAAACGCAATAATTTTATAAAATCATTAATAATTAATGAACAATTCTAATTTTTTAAGGAAATGAAGGGAAAATATGGTACTTTTTCTAAAAAATTAATACATCAAAGGCAAAAATCCTCTATCTGGAAAACTTCTCGTTGTTACAGGCAAATAAGTTAGGACATTCAAATTTGGCATACATTTTTTTATATTTTTTAAAAACAAATGATTAAAATTTCGAAATCCGTCAAATAAGAACCACCATAGTGCAAGTATACTTACAAAGTGGAAATAAATTTACTGCAGCGCATTCGTTAAAATTAAATTTTAAACTAGTTGGTGTAAAAGTTGGAGGAGAGTGCGTTTCAAGAACGGGTATCTAAATCTTAATTCATTTCATGCGAAAAATCTTATCTGCAGGACAATTATCCGTAACGAAATAACCCCTTGAAGGATAATAAAGAGCTAAATTGTAAAAATATTAATTGCCAAAGTTTGAGCGGCATCTAGCACTCAAGGGTGTGCTCCAAACTAATGCGGAAAGTAAGCGAAGTAAGAAATTCACGAAATTAGTGCTTTTCATTATTACCACTCTTACTATTACTGAGTGTTTTATAATTTATACACAGTGGCCAAATAATTGTTAATTTTAACCAGATTTTATATTAATCCAGGTTTCACATAACTTAATGTTTTTGACATTTGATTTTCATAAAGATTTACCTTGTTGATTAGTCCCAAAGTTTAAGTTCAATTTTAATAGTATATTATGTATCAAGTTTGATAAACGCCATTTTATACACGAATTTAATTTAGGCATGAGCGAGCTTTCGAGCGAGTGCTTAAATTAATGTGTGTATAGAAAAGTTTATAAACGAGGTGCATACTATACTTGTTCTACGACAAATACTTATTATTATCTTAAAATGATTTAAATCAAAAATTTGTATAGAGCGCCATCTATGAAACAATAGGGGAATCTGTGTGTCACCGTCAAATGTCAAATTTTTAATTTTATAAACAGATTATAAAGGTTATAAATCGAATTGTATTTCTTGAAAATTGTCAGTTTTCCACAGTGAAAGTAAAGAAAATGTTTTATGAGCACTTTACAGTGGAGTCCGTGCCCGAATTTAAGTTATAGTTTACTGCCGGCGAAATTAAAAGGTCAGTACAATGTTCATATAAACTTTTCAAATATTGGCATTGAGAAACTATTTAATACTTTTGTATTTTTGTATTGAGATAATAAAATAATTTTCACATTTAGTATTATTTTACAAGAAAGGCACTTTATTTTAACGATTGTATGACATTTTATATTTATATGATCTGAAATTTTAAAATGTTTAATTTTAGATTTGTATGTAAAGCCGATGAAACAGCACACCATTAATCTTATATTTAGGAATAACAAGTCGGAAAATCCGACTCTATGCAATATTCAAAGCATCTCATACATTGAATATTTCAGTACAGATTGTTCTCATCATCAATATTCCATCCGGTGCATGATTCTTTTCTGAACATATTTTACTCACGTACTATAGAATCAAACATATGTCTTTTTACATTTGGCCAAAAACTACAACGATTTTTACAGAATTTAACACCCTAATAGTAAATAAACATTTCTCTGAACGTTTAAAACTTCTTAGGAGATTTTTTAAGTTTTATTAAGCCCCTGCAGTTTTATTTTATTTGCCTTTTTGAAAACACAATAAAACTCTGAAAGAAATGTTAATGAACATTTTATCGTGTTTTTAAATTAGTTTTAATTTGTTAAGAATACTTTAATGATTTCAAACAACTGGAGTTTTTATTTTTAACTGAGAAATTTGCATACATAAAACTTGCGAGGATTAAAAGCTGCGAAACTTTTTAACTGCAGACGTTTTATGTATTTATAAGGCGAAATTTTTGCCTAACTTATTTTGCATCGGAATTTCCTTGTCCAGCATAATTTTCCTATAAATATCCACGTTTAAATGCTTTGAGAAACACTTTATTTTTTATTATTTATTTTATATTTTTTTGTTTAATTTTCTATTAAAGTAGCGTTTTAGGGATGTGTGGTTTTTTTTTTAAACTTGACTGAATTTGAAAGTTAATATTACACGGTGTGCCTAAACGAGTTTTAAGTCACATAAAAATGCCGCCAAAAACTGATTGTAGTTTCTTGTTTGGGACCCTTTGGTAACTTAAAAATGATATTTACCAAAATCCTAGCTGCTCCTCTTTTCTAATTTTTTTAAAATTCACGATTAAAAAAAATTGAGATAAATCTTCTTTGTGCATTATGCTTTTTTACTATAAAAAAGTGATTTTTGGCTAACCCTTTATAAATCTAATGAAGTGCTCAGTATGAAAACAGTATTCTCCAAGTCTCGTTAACAATTTACTCCAAGAAAAATAGGTGTGCAAATGTGTACTCTGGCAAATAAATAACAAATAATTAAAAAATATATTGAATTTTTTACAAATTTAAAAAAAGCAGTTAGAATTTTGGTAAATATCGTTTTTAAATCACCAAAGAGTGGCGATCAAAAAACTTCAACAATTTTTTCGTTCAAAATTGAAAACTACTAAAAAGCATAGATTAAACAACATTTTAAATATTCTCTAAGTGATATTTTATTTTATTTTATTAAAAATCTACTTTTTTTATTAAAGGTTAATAAGAATGCCATTTTGTAACCTGATATACGTAGAAATATCTATGCCAAAACCATGAATTTACGCTTTTGCTTTATTAAAATTAAGCTCAATAATATACTCCAATTTTATAAAAATCGGTGTACAAATGTGTACTCTGTCAAAGGTAGACTTTGAGATAAACAAAAATTTAAAAAAAAATCATGAATTTTTAAAAAATTTCGAAAAGAGGAGCAGCTAGGATTTTGGTAAATATAATTTTTAAGTCATCAAAGGGTCTCGAACAAGAAACTGCATTCAGTTTTTGGCGGCATTTTTATGTTACTTAAGCCTGATTTATAGATTGCCTTTCTTCCTCCCGTAAAAGATGAACAATACGAAAATCGTAGTGCCATTTATAGATTTTCGTACGGGAATCTATAAACAGCACAACGGTTTTTGTATTGTTCATCTTTTACGGGAGGAAGGAAGGAAGGAAGGAAGGAAATATATAAATCAGACTTTAAACTTTGTTCAGGCACACCGTGATTACCATATACATGTTTTACATTCGTGGTCCATTGGAATTTTCTTGGGACAGGAAAGAGATATTGATTTGAAATTTTAATTTATAATTATAATGTAATTTACGAATTTTATACAGTACTTAAAAATGTGAAAGTATATGGGGTGTTCTATTTGAAATTACAAAGTTGATGTCACTTTTGGTTAAACTGGAAGTGGCATTTTGTTGTGTGTGTGTTTGTGTGTGTAATTTAACCGAATTTTTCCCGAATATATTATAATATTATCACAAAAAATTACCGCAGGAAATTTAATTTAATTTTAAATATAATATATATAGTTTACTTACATATGTACATACATAAGTAAAATGAGATTTATATTTTTGTTGGTTTTTATTGCCGAAACTTTGGCTGCCTGTTCTTTAAAAAAAAGTACTGTAAATTGGCTTAATTTAAAAAATCCAATCGATAAATCAAATATATGTAAGTACAAAAATACTTTTAGGATTAATATCAAGTGTGGAAATTTTTAAAAAGTTTACTTTTATCATGCATTTTTTTATGTTTAAAAAAAATACGTAAACCTAACATATTTTCAGATACATTTAAATTTAACAAAGAAGATTATGATCATCAAGATTCTGGATATCCTGACGAATCAGATGAATATAATTCTCCTCTCAAGTCGGATTATTGGAGTGGAAGTGAACCAAAACAACTAAGCACTATTGATTACAGATGGAACAGTTTTGCAAGTACTTTTGATGGTGACTTAACATTACCTTTCGCAATAGGATTATCGTTAAGATTGCAGAATAAATCAACAATATATTTAAACGATGAAGCTATTGAATTTACCACTGACTTTGTTGGAATTGACAATAAAACAAAGGTAACGTTCTGATTTTCTTAAAATAAAAGCAAATCACAAAAAGTATAACTAGTTTCAGTTGCAAAAAGGCTTATGGAACCATTTTGAGTTAAGGGTAATTAAAAATTGTTTTCCTATGATATCATTTTACACGTTTATCCACAATGAGGAAAGTATTGAGAAATGTAATAATGGCAATATCGATTATAATTCCGTAGTACATATAAAAATCAACGATACTTATAATGATTGGAAAATCCACAAGTGTAAGTAGCGATTAAGTAGGTAAAATCCCGAAAAAAATAAAAGATCATCCTTAATTTTTTTAAATCAAAACCTTAACTTATGCAGAACACCGATTGGATGTTTAAACGAAATTTCATTTTAGATGAAGTTATACATATGAATCTTTATGATTTTACTGTTGAAGTCAACAAAAGTAAACTGGTATATTTCGCACTCAAGGCGCCCGTCTTTTTCAATGTTTTAAAAATATCGGTGCCTGGAGAAAAATATGACATAGAGACAAAAGTACAGTATAAAAGAATTATTCACAAAATATTTTAATTATATATTTAATTAACCTTTTAGGATGATGATTGGCATGTTTATTTATTATCTTGTAATGAAAGTATAACCAATATTACTTTTTTATCCCCATGTTTGTATATTGTAAACGAAATGTGTTTGAAAATTGCAGAA